GCCTACTTAGTATCAGTCTTTCCTTTCCTTGATCTTAGACCTGTTGAACCTTCTTGCCCAATTCTGCCACTGGGGGGGGGGGTCCCATAAAACTGTCTCACTTCACTTCCTTACATAAATTTTCATGGAAAGCTAATTCATAATAAGAAAGTTGCTTTGATAGACTTCAATAAGAAAGGAATGAACCCTTTTGGCAAACTCTTATTTCTTCTAGAAACCGACTCAAGAATCTTTCCCCTCTGAGGTCTTTTCTTTCCACTGGGTCTTGGCTGTCTTCTGTAATAGTACTGAAATGCTTAGTTTTTCCTCACCGTTATACTTAAACCTTCTTGAAAGAAGGTTCTGCATCTACATTTGAATTCTTACAATCTAAACTCAACAAAAGTTTATTAAATGCAGAAACAAGTAATGATTGAATAAGCAGGTGATTGATCAAGTGGATCACCTCAGCAGGGCTCCACCTTTGTTGATTGCCATTTGGATGCTCTGCTTAGCACTCCTGAACTCATTCTAGCTAGTAATGAAAATGTCTCTGGTTGGGTACACTGAATTTACAATCAATAATGAACTCTAAATTGAATTTGTAATTGCTTTTATAATGCTACTATAGTCACAGGCATTCCAAATGCTGGCTTCCCAGATCATATCGTAACATTCATTTTTAATTTCATCCTATTTCTGTGAAGTGACAAGAAATGAATGAGTAGTATGAGTTAAAAATTCTGAGAAATAACTTTAATTAGCTATGTAAAAGAGTCCAACAAAACAGTTCAAAATAAGATGTAGTCCAGTACCAAGATTAATTTCTAATTAAGCTCAGAGTTTAATACCACAACAAATAAGGGAGCCCAGAGTTGCCAGGAAAAATGAGGAACAAATTATTCCTGTTTCCCATCCTTTACACTAAGAACATGTATATAAGAAGCTATAAGTACCCAGGTGCCCGTGGCTCATGCCTGTAAGCCTAGTTATTCAGGAGGCTGAGATCTGAGGATTGTGGTTCGAAGCCAGCCTGTCAGAAAAGTCTGTAAGACTATTATTTCCAATTAACCACAGAATGGAAGTAGCACTGTGGCACAAGTGGTAAGAGTGCTAGCCTTGAGCAAAAAGGAACCCAGGGACAGTGCCTAGGCCCAGAGTTCAGGACTGGGAAGAAGAAAAAGAAGAAACGAGAAGGAGAAAGAGGAGGAGGAGGAGAAGGAAGAGGAAGAAAAAGTGCTATAAGTTATAGCCCGCTGGGATGAGGGGTGAGGCTGCTGCTAATGTAGCTAGTGACCTGGGCTCTGGATGCAACAGGCTCCACCTGGCTGTGCTGGGAGTTGGGGAGAGCTAGATCTCAGCACCTCCTTCTCCCTGGGTGGTAGAGTGCTGGGGGAATGCTGAAGTTTAGCAAATGGGATTTGAACATACCTATAATTTAAGGTCCTGGTTCTCAGCCAAACCCAACAGACCAGGAAAGAGTCATAGTGAGCAAGAGAGGTATACGCTAGATTTTGGAACTAGGATTGTTTAGGCCAGTGATTTTTTCAACTGAATGCCTATTGAATCACTTGGAAACTTAAAAGGTAAAAACACAGCAATGCCCAAATTATACCCTAGCATGTTAAAGTCAAAGTCACTGAGTAGAGGGGCATGGATGGGCCACTATCAATATTTTAATCAAGTTCTCCACTGGTGTTTTAAAAATGTTCCTGAATTGGGGCTGGGAAGGTGGCTCAGTGGTAGAACGCTTGCCTTGCATGTTTGAGGCCCTAGGTTCGATTCCTCAGCACCGCATAAGCAAAAAGAAAAAAGCCAGAAGTGGCACTGTGGCTCAAGTGGTAGAGCGCTCGCCTTGAGCTGAAGAGCTGAGGGACAGCGCCCAGGCCC